GAGAGAGAGAGAGAGAGAGAGAGAGAGAGAGAGAGAGAGAGAGAGAGAGAGAGAGTTCTTCTTCCTCTTCTTCTAAGTCCACCATCTCTTCTTCCCCTCTCGCCACCTATTTCTCAGTGTCAGTGGACTACTACAGAGAGAGAGTTGTGMCATGAGACTTGACGWCATTGGATCCAGACTCGACATTGGGATTCAGACATTTTGACGAGGGACTATTTGGGCCTGTGCTGAACACTTGGTGTTGACGACATTCCCATCTTCCCTTCTGCTTCGTCTAACCCCACCTYCTTCGTTTGTGTATGGTTGGGGCTGACGCAGTCTTCTTGTGTGAAGCGCCAGACCCCTTCACACCATGATGATGATGATGTATGTTCGGGGCTGCATTACAATATTGATTGTTCGGATCATTGGTATCTAAGTCTTCCGCTGTGCTATCTTATACTTTGTATTGAAAGGTCGGTTCTTGTTCTGGTCTGCACCTATACGGTATGCAACAGTAGGTCTGGTACTTCCTGCAAGTATGCCGCTGTTGTCGGACCTACACATCGGTGCTGGTCCTGCGGCTACGCATCGGTTCTACACATCGGTGCTGGTCCTGCGGCTACGCAGCTCTAACCATGATTCTGCCTGCGTACACATTCTCTGTTAATTGCTCAGGCTGCGCTATCTGCTAGCTTAGCTGACGCAGCGCAGATGGATTTAGCAAAAACTTCCCTGGTTTTGCAAAGCGGAAACCAATCCTTTATGAACTTGATCACATTTGCGACATCGGTGGTGGACTCTCTGTTTCTGTGAGCACATAGGGTTTGGTTTGGTGTCTTCTGAAAACACCACATGTTTGCGTGTGAGCCTTGTGTATAACTTCCTGTGCATTAGTGTGTAAATTAGTTGCTGCCTTAGCAGGGGTTTTTCCCTGCCACCTACTTTGGAGTGTTTGAACCTCCACTACCTCCGGACTGTGATCTGCTGAGCCAAACAGATCTTTGTGGTGTTGGACACCAAAAACTGGTTTCAGGTGGGCGAGTTGCGGGGAGTGTCTGTAAATTTTGTCGCACCCAAATCTTCCTGTCGCCCCTTTTTGGGCCTTTCCACAGCCTCCTGGGTGTTAGCCTAGAAAAAGGAGGCCGTTCGATTTTGATTCTGCTGTTTGATGAATCGTTCAGTGCCAATATCTGTCATGAGATTGGTTGGTTGAGAGAGGAAGGGGGGGTGATCTTATGCGGAGGCAAACTGAAGATTCCTCGCCTGGGGTCTACTCTTCCATCAGCAGAGAGGAGGAGCTGGTGGTTGCGTCCGATTTGGGACGTCCAAAGGTTGCTCTGGTGTTGAACCACCGGTGGTTCCGAGCCCCAATTTTCTGATTCGCTTTTCTTTCTTCTCCCCCCCCCCCCCCCACTTTTCAGGTTGATTTCATTCATCTAGTTCCGTCTGGATTCCAGCTCGCATCTATATTTCAACAGTGCAAGGGTGTAACAACTGACCTGGGCCTGTAGGTTTTCTTTTTGATCTGCTTTTTGGCCCGGCCCTGAGAAATACAAACCAGCGCGGCGAAGATCGTACTTGGTTTTATAATATGATGAGTGGTAACTCACATCCCTTGTGTATGTGAGAGGCTGGCCTCCCCACGACTTGTTACGACCAGTCGGCCGCCAAACCCTATCTGACCCGTACACCAGCCTTTTCCTGATGATCACTTTTAGCCTTCCCATGGCTCCGCATTAACCCGCCGGTTGTTTTGAATGGCTGGGCCGGCTGCCTGCTGGTGGTTTGAGATCCTTTTTGGGTATCGAGAAAACATTTTGTCCTTTCTCCCGCATCTAGTCTAGTGTAGTAAAGCCCAGGCCACCTGAGCACGCTTGGTGGTCTCTCTCGCGAGTCTGGGGATGGTCCCGGCAGGAGATTCTCGGGGAGGTCCGCTTCTTGACGGATCCCCTTCGCTTTCCAGGAAAAAGATGTTGGAGAGGCTGAAGGCAGAAAAGGAGAAGGAAGTTCAGGAGATGGAGAGGGAAATTCAAGAGCTTGCTGAGGCTGATACCAGGGCTGCGCAAAGGACCGGTGTGGTAAAGCAAGTACAAGAGATGGTTGATGACCCCAATACCTCGCTTGAAGTGAAGAATTTGGCCTCACTTCAAGTACTGATGTTGGATAAGTTAGATAATGTGAAGGAGTGTGTCGATGCCCTTGCAGCGAGCATGCAGTTGCTGTTTCAGGCTGTTAGAACCATTTCCTTCCCTCCACCTGTTTCCCAGACTCTTGTTGCGGCCTCTACTTCCGTATCTGGTTGCACTGTCATGGGTACGGTCCCTGCCGCCTCTTCGTCCTCCCAGCCTTTTAACAATCCTGTCCTAACCGTTGTTCCATCTTCCGCACCGCGCACTTCCTCGAATTCTGAGATCCCAGCATTACCTTCTGGGGGCAATCCAATGCCATCAACTGCTGATCCTTTTTCAGCTGCTGATGATAAGGAGAGCGAGCACGAACAGCATTTGGCCTTCTGCGAGGGCAACACTCCGCAACACAGGGGAAGAAAGAGTGAGGAAAGTATTCCATGGCGGCAGCAGGTGCAGCAAGGCCAAGCCAAAGGCCTCCCCAAAGGAGTAAAGACTCGAAGTTCGCCGCCTCGGACGAGTTCCAAGCCTCAGAAGGGCCCTAAGATCTCTGAGCTTGCGTGGCAGAAAAGGACAGAGGCCGGGATCTGCCTTCATTGCCAGGAGCCCAACCACATGGCAGCTGCTTGCCCTCTCCGCAGGGAAGATAAAGCCGAACACTCTGGAAACTTTGACTTGAATGGCAACCCTACCTCCAGGTTATGGCCTTCCTGGCGGGGCCAGAAGTTCCCGGATCGGTCTTCTCAGATGCCGCCTGTTATAGATGGTGCTTATGAGTTCGACCACATCGTCGAGCATGATGATGATGGTGCTGCCCGTGAGTATTGTGTACGCTTCAGGTATCAACCTGAGTCTGTAGATCTGTGGATGAATAGGCGAACCTTACTGAAGTTTGCTCCTAAAAGCAGCATTCGTGCTTATGAAACTTTTCTACGACGTTGATCTTGTAATGATCTGAAGACACTGAGCTGTTGGACCAGTGAGGCCACACATTACCATCAGCTGGGTTTCCACTTTGTGTTCTGCTGCTGGGTTTTTCCCAGTTTCCCTGTGCTAGTCTCCAAGTCTGACGGGGGGGGGACGGGGGGCGCGACCCCACATGACCAGAGATCGGCTGCGTGAGAGTACTAACCTTTGCTTTGTCGGTGGACTGATCTGACACTGGGGGGCTCGGCTCAGGGACTCGGACTTCTGAATTCGCAAAACTGGAGTCGTCCCGGGTCCCAGACCTATTGGTGAAGTACCATCGGTGCTGATATGCATCTGGCCGCGTGTGAGGCCAAAGAGGTCCCGTGCGAGACCTGAGGACTGGCAGGCCTAAACTGTCATCATTTTCGCCCTGGAGTGAGGGCTGCTGGACGTCACCGCCTAACTTAGCTCAGGAGGTAACCGATATAGAGCACAAGTACTCGCAGTAGTTCGTTTCTGTAGCGGGTCAGGCGTGCCATATATCTTCTAGTTTCTGAGGGCTGACCCTACTCAACTGGCAGTTGTCAGCTTCTGCTCTCTGTCTATATCAGATCTAGTCCAGAGAGCATCTGCTGGGAGACAAGGTTTGGTACTCATAGGGAAACACAGGCAGGAGCTCGGTACGGCAACTCACTTGGAAGTCGCTAGGAGAGGTCTACTCTTCCGTATCGACTTTCGAGCTTGGCATCTTCAGATCTGTGTGAGGAGCTTCACTTTGCTGGGTATGGATATTTGACGTCTGCAATCGGTTTCTCTGCAGCGGATGGTGAGCGGTGATCGGCATTCACATTTGGTTGGCTCTCTTTTCTCAAAGCCGCTGCGGACGCTCCTATTGTTCAGCACTATGCTGAAAAAGGCAAGGGGATGGATTGAAGGCGGCGCTGACCGTTGATCGCCAGGTTGTAATTTTGTTGGGTGAGTTGAACCAATTCAAGAAATATGCATTTACCGATGAAGGGAGGAGTGGGGGCAAGATGGGTTTCGTCAACTTCTCAGTACTTGTTAGCTTTTGTGAGCCGTCTCCCCCTCATCCTCCCTGTCGCTGGTCGAGGTCGTGTTTGTGTTGAGGTGTGCTTCATCGTTGGCAATCTCGTGCAAGTTTTTGGGTGTTTGAAAAGGGGCATGTTTCATAGAACTACCTTGGTCACTGCATTAACTTAACTGTCTGATTGACCTACATGCTACCTCCCTTTTTTTTTTTTTTTTTTTTTTTTTTTGATAAAAATGTGGACTATTTCTTGATTCATGCGTCTCATCCTTGTGCAGGGGTGATGCTAATCTTCTCTGTATCGTTCCAATTGCAATGGTTTGTGCGTCTGCCTGCTGCTGCTAACCACTGCTGGATTGAATTCCTTATGCACATCTGCTAACCCTTACGATGAAGAGTCGAAGACGATAATGCCCATCTATTATCTCGGTTGCGCCGTATGTAAAGGAGCGAGTAATGAGCGATACTCACCCTTCACACTGTCAGCAACAGCAATGCCACCTGTTGCCGCCCGTTTTGCAGCACTAAAGGAATCGTAACCCCCCACTGTCCACATAGTGTCCAAGAATAATGTCCCATGTCACCACCATCTTTCCAGCTGTAGAGAGATTCTGAAAGTACCGAATGGTGTCGATCTCGTCTTTTGCCAGGCACATGTGTGCGCTAAACTACTACCGTCCCTGACAGCCTTCCGAGATTATGCCGGTGTATGGCAGAGGCCCAGTGGAAGCTTGGGCAGCCATGGAAGGAATCTGCAGCTGCGAACTACTACTATTACTTCTTCTTCTTCTTCTTCTTCTTCTTCTTCTTCTTCTTCTTCTTCTTCTTCTTCTTCTTCTTCTTCTTCTTCTGCTCCTCCGCCTTCCTTCTTCTTTCTCCTTGGAGTCCGCCTTTGCTATTCAGGTTGCATTTACACCTTGATTCGCTTTGTGCAGGGGCTGTGCTAACTTTCTCCACAACACTTCAATTAATGATTTCCAACTTTTAATGAATGTACTGGAAGACCTGCGTGCACGTACACCATAGACTTGTCACTTAGATATTTTTGAGAAACCAATAGCCTCAGACTCCTGGATTGTCGGCATTCAGGTCGACCTCTGTGTGCCTGGATTAAGAGAGCGGTTCCCATTTGGCTGAACGACGACTACTGTTGGAATGGCCAGATGACCACCACCACAGCACCACTGCATTGCTTGATTTCATAGAGCAACCCGTCTCTGTTTGTTTGTCATCAATCAATTTGTTTACTTACGTATCTGTCTAGTATTCTTTTAGTTTTATGCTGGGAACGACACGGCTAGCATTTGCCTGGAGAACCGCTCCACGTCAGTGGTGCATGTCCCTAGCGGAAGAGTTCCATCTCTCTGGCGGCCAGTACCTGGATATGTTCCACCTCTCGTTCATGCAGGGAGGACCCCACTGACATCTGCCTGGAAACTGTGGAAATTAGTCTCCCCATGAGTACGGAAGAACTGCCCCCATGGCAGCCAATACCTCTAGTCTACTCTTTCCGCTTATGATTCAAGAACTATTTGAAGACTCCAAAGTTCCAAACCACCATTAGTACACCCGAACCTGGAGGCGCCTTACTGCGCGCCAAGCTTTTCTGAACTCCCGGACCTGGAGGCGCCTTACTGCGCGCCAAGCTTTTCTGAACCGCCGACGGCGCACTTTCTTTCCTTTTTGGTTGGCGCCGCCAGCCATTGTGGTCCAGTAGGCTGAGGCTCCGAAAATTTTTGTAGGCGACGAGTTGCCTTTTCGGCAAGGCTGGGGCCGTAGACAGACGGCTTAACCCCTCCACCTCTGGGAACTTGATGCCGGAACGGTTGCTGCGTGGGTTTTGTGGTGCCTCTGTCAGCTTCCTAATTGTGAAAGTTTACTAATCTGTTGTTGTACAAGGTGTGCCAGTTCAGTGGGGGCTGAAGTTGTTTAGCTGCTTGTTGTCTCAACTACTATGAAGACTATGTGTGACCTTTAACTATTGAAACAACAGTACCAGGGGATGCTCTGACCAATATAGACCTGTGGCTATTCTCTTGGTGTTCCCCTTATATCGGCTGCTGGGATAAAATTGAGTGGAAGCGTTTCAACTCTGTTGAATTTGGGCGCTCAAGTAGTGGCCCTTTCATCCTCCGAAAGCCGTGACGACACGCGCCTCGACTTTCGGAGGTACTGGCGGGGGTCTAAAGGTACGTATATCGAAAGCAGTGGAACTTTTCTTTTGGTGCGTTCTTGATGAAGTGTGCCTGCAAGTAGAAAGTGTGCCAGGGTTTCTACTTTTACTCCTCAAGTGGTACTACGGTGGTCCTTGTGATGTCATGTCAGATAGCTGTGTATATCGAAGCGAGACCTTCCCAGAAGAGAGGCGATGGGCTTGAATTGGATTTCGGCGCCATCATTTCGCACCTGGACACACTGAGGCTGAGCGATGTCTGTGGTTCGAACCAGGGTGGCATACCTTTGTGTGGTTTCTGTGCCTGTGAAAGGCTGAGATCATGGACATGCCGACTTGACTGTACGCAAAAGGTGGTCCACTACCTACGGTCTTCACCCGAATAAAACGCCCGGTCATTATAGCTGTATCTGGACTGAAAAGTGCAGCGAATACGGCTACGATGACCGTGCATTCTCTTCGGGTCAAGACGGTAGCATTTGTTACTCTTGAATGACTTTGGACCGATTTCAGTGGTACGTTCTATCCTAGAAACCATGCACCTGGTCAGTCATCAAGGGCATGTCTGAGGTGTTGCATATCTGATCTTCCCTGGCACAGATTCCGAGTACCAGAGCAACGGGGGTGTAGGTTGGCTCTCTCCGCATCCAGGAGTTGGGCTAGTGGTTGGTCTTCAGGTTTGCTGTGGTGCTAATGGATCTGCTGCATACTCTGCTGTAAAATAAGCCCTGTTGATCGATTGGTTCGCTAGTCATCTTCTTCTCTATTAACTGTATGCATAGAAGAGAAGGATAGGGTCGTCGGGACAGGGGAGAGAGGCAGGGCAGGATCAGCTGAAGGCTGTGTTGCAAACCACCAAGGTACAATTTTGGGCCTCTGGGATCGGCTAAGGGGCACATTGTCAGAGTCCCCGGAAGCGTAGAAGTGCTGCAGCTGCGGTGTGCATTTGAGGAAAAACAAAAACAAAAAAAGGTAGAGAGCAATAAAATGGACAAGGGACATAGGCCCTGTTGCTGCTGTGTCCCCGGTAAGGAAATGTTTGGGTGCTGTCGCTTATTTGTTGTCCTTGGATGGTCTTTGGTCATTGGGCGGCCTGTTGGACGGTGTCTGTGCATGAAATAGTGATCATATGTTATGGGTTGTCCCTGCAAAGCAACTGGTTGAGCTCACGGTTGCCTGTGTCTTGTCCTATGGTGGTGGTTGGTCAGTGGGTGGCCTGTTGGACAGGCGTCCTTGGTGGAGAATTCCTTGTTGCCTTCTCGCTTGTGGAAGTCTGGACGCACTAACATCTGCTGCACGTGAACAACGTCAGCATTCCACGAACCCTAACATGATGACTAAAACAATGCCATGGAGCGCGCGGGCGCCACACACAGACATACGTGTGTGTGTGTGTGTGTGTGTGTGTGTTGCAGATTTGCACCACAACAGCCCCTGTTTCATCCAGATGAGTAGATTCAAAATCGAAGCAAATTTACT